CCCATAAGTTCCTTGCTGCTCAGACCCCAGCAGGAGCAGGGATGCCACGCATGGTAGCACCTGAATCAGGACCACCCCCAGCCTGGCGCACAGCTCAGCAAGGTGCATGCTTTCTTGAATTGCAAGTGCGCTATGGAAATTCTACCAAGAGAAAATTTAAATTAAATGCTGATCATGATCCCAGCAAATATGAGCCTGCCATATTCCCCTGAAACCTCATTTTCATCTCTCCTTCCTTACTCTAAGTGTAGCCATGTATACAACAAAGGCCTCTTCAGCAATATTTTTTGCGAGTAGCCAACTTACAAACTTTCTTCATCACTCCAGAATCTGTGAAGGAATTAAGAGCAGCTATTTGTCAGCAGGATCAAAACTCAGCTGTGGATTTAAGAATAACAAAGAGATCTTACTTAGCCAGGGCCTTTTGTTCACTAAATGTCAGAGTTTAAGAGACTTCCCAGAATTCGCAGAAACATATAATTAAACTGCTCAGAGCATCTATAAAGGAAGCTGTCCTGTAAAGTTGACAAGCCCACCAGCAAGGTTTTAAAGGGCAGCTCATGGGTTATAGAAAAAAAGATTTGAGGCTCTTGGATATTTTTCTTAAAATGCAACACAGGTACACACTGATAATTGTCTATCCAGAATAAATTTTCGGTGAAATGGGCTGAACAATTTTTTTTAAATAGCAAGGAAATGTATTTAAGTGCATAAAATAAAATAATCCCCTTAGAGTTATAAGAAGGCAATTGTGCTTCCTGCCTGAGCCCTGAGGGTTGGCAAATCAGCCCTTTCTTCCCACTCACTCTGCCAGCCTTCAAACTCAAATACAGAGGTGTGGCTCCATCCCCTCAATTCTTCCCTACACCCTCAGCATTCAGGAAATGTGGCAGCTGGATGCATCTAGAATCTAATGAGCATTTTGCTCCAAACCAAGAAAAAATAGAAAAATCATTTATATTCCACATCTATTTTCCAAAACATCATTGAATATTGACTCAATCACAGTATGTGTATTTGTTATGACAGTCATAATTTCAAGTAATAAAATGTTCCTTGCTCAATAAGCCCTCAGCTTTTCTTCTACATTAATAAGGAGCGACCCTGCACCAAAATCATCAGACCTTTGTTCTAGCCTAGTCCAACTGTCAGGTCATTTCTGTACCAGTGTGTTGATTTGACTTTATCAGTCTGTAAAATGAAGAGGAATTTCTTTTCATGTCTTTTTGTTTGGTGGGGCTATCAAGGTCTTTCAAGGATGTTAGGTTCTGCAGAGAACATTAAACAGAAGTCGTTGTCAAAATTACTTTAGAGGATGCTTTAAAAAGCATCATGTTGGACACTGTTCATATCCCAGTTTTTCTTTCTTTTTTTTTTTTTTTAGAACCAGGGATGGAACTCAGGACCTTGAGCTTGCAAGGCAGGTACAGTGCTGCTGAGCTAAATCCCCGGCCCCCATTTTTTCTGTGTTGGAACAGATCATGTTTTTTTCACTGAGTACCAGATGAGAGCAATGTCACTCAAAATCCTATTCCTCTGGGCTGGAGATTTAGCTCAGTGGTTCTGCCACCTGTCTTACAAGCGCAAGTCCCGAGTTCGATCCCCAGTACCAAAAAAAAAATCCTATTCCTCTGGTCTGAGTGGGGAGGCGCTCATGCCTTGAGAAGTAGGTGGGCTCCGAGACTTCCCCTCCCATCTCAGTCTCTCTCCAGGACATGTATTAGGTGGGTAGAATCACTCCCATATCTCAGCTTCTTAACTGTCTTTTGTTGAGCAAAAGCATATAGCACATGCATGTAGGATGCAAATCTGTATTATTTCAAAATTCTTCTCTTCTTCATCCTGACTCCCAGCATTCCAGTAACTCTCATTCCAGACTTGCCAAAATCTACTGTCTGAGTCAACTTTCCATGCTCCAGTGCTTTCTGACCATCTCGGACCAATCAAAACCTACAGGTCCTATTCCTCCACCAGAGTACTACTAAGTACTACTGGATCCATTAAACTGAAAAACTGAATTCACACAATATCAATAGGTGAAAATGGTTTGATGTGTAACAAACACTCCCATAGGGTAACTTTCTACAGTCTTCAGTACAAAAACTAAACAGAGGCCTTTCTCTGTCTTGCTCAAGTCTCTGTCTCTATCTCCGTCTCTGTCTCTGTCTCTCTCTCTCTCTCTCTCTCTCTCTCTCTCCATCTCTGTTTCTCTCTTTCTCTGATTTTGTTGTGTACTAAACACTGAACTTAGATCTCTGGGAAGGGGTGGGGGGGCACAGATTTTCAAAAACGAACTCTTTTATTTGGTTTAAAAACAAAGTTTTTCTTTTTTTCTTTACAGCTTTATTTACAGTACTCTAAACTATTTCTTTTAAATTGAACATTTGTTTCATGCTGAAATTAATAGTTTCTGCCTGTCAAGGCTTCACACAAAAAGGAGAAAGAGAAAATGTAGTTCTTGTCTTAGCACATATTAGACAGTTCTTCTGAGTATTGTGTTTTTCTCAGAGGTCTGGTTTCTTATTACATTTTATGGAAGTGAAAGATTACAGGACTTATAATTTTAAAAATTGTAACATTCATTAAAAATATTATGTATTTCCTAAAACATGCATTAATTGTTTTCTTTCCCTGTCTGAACAATATAGTAGGTGTCTATCATGAAAGAGAGCTTCTGTTTGCTTTCTTTTCTTTTTTTTTTCTTTTTTTTTTTAGTTCTTTTACTGGTACATTTTAGGTATACAATTCGTTTACATTTATCATTGGGTGTTTGTACCTGTACATGATATATCTTGGTTCTGTTTGCTTTCTACTGACAAATTAGTAATGAATTTCAAAAATGACATTTTAATTTGATTTTGTTTTCAGAGCTGTGGTTATGTGGCCATAAGCCTTTTGTTCCCCTCTACAGTCTTCTGTCCCTCTATGAAACACCAAGGACTGAAACTGGAGGCTTCTGCCAGTGTTAGGAGCCCAATAATGCCAATGTTTGTATAAGATTCTTACAGTTCATCCTGGGACAGAAAAGACTGAAGACACCCAGAATCCTATGCTACAGCTTTGGCATGGGCTACACAACCAGCCAAAGTTAAATGCTAGCATATTGCATTGCTGAGTTATAATGAATTCACTGTCCAAGGGTGGCCTCATAATCTGCCTGTGGTCACCTTGAAAAGGAGGCAGTTTACAAAAAAGCACTTGCCCACAGCTTGTGCCATGATTCTGGGCCCCTTGTAATCTTTCAAGTCTCTTCCTCGATGTCCTGGCCATCCTGGGGGCTTTGTCTGTGGTCACTCCAGGAAGAGCACTCTTTCACTGGGAGGCCTCAGGCATAAGCAGCTCACCTGCTTGCCTGGTTGCATGGAGGGAAGGCCCCACATAGGCCCTGGGCAGTTCCAGAAAGCTCCAGTTCTCTGTGCCTGAATGCAGAGATTTTTGAAGAGAGGAGTAGACTATGTGGGGAAAGGAAGGAGCATATTCAATGAGTGACCAAGATTTCTCTCCCAGTCACTGCATTTTCATTACTGAGTTACAGTAAGGTTACAGAGACTGAAGATAAATATAATCAGAGACCCCAGAAACAGTACCATTCCCAAACAAAGCAGCGCATTAAACAGCTCCACTGGCAGGACAAAATCCTAATACTCTTGGGGTAGGGTAGGGAGTTAGTGAAGCCCAAAAGATAACATGAGAATGTTTATGTGACTTAACCAGTCACCTAAAGGGACAAAGATGATTCCTGAGAAATGAAAGTCCCTTGCATCTATATTCTTAAGAAGCCAAATGATGTGACAAAAATAGTCAAACCAGTTTTACTGCTGATTATTCCATTTGAATATAACAATGAATTCTCCACACACAGTTGCCATGGCAGCTAATACACATTGTCCCATGCTCCTGCCCTCCCAAAGCCAGGAAGACACGGACACGAGGCACCAGGCAGTGATGAAGGGATGGCTCCCCTTTGGTGCTTCTCTCTTAAGGCTTCTGAGTATGTTCCTATGCTCCTGGGTCATCCAGGTGACCTCAGGCAGGGTGGCTTGAGCTGGCTAAGAGGGGCCGAATCCAACAGCTATGGTGGGCCCTGTGAGGATGAAGCAAGAGGCTTGTCCTGTTCTTGTTATTTCAATTCCATGGGAAGGTGAGGTTTTGGAGATTGACCCCTTTGCACCCAAATGTACACACTCATTCTGATTAATATATGAAAGGAAAATGGAGGACCACAGTGGATAGAGTGGTGTCCCTTCAGAGTCCTCCTTACAATGATGCTCCTGAACAAGTCTACTGCTGCCTGGTCCCAGCTCCCAGCTTCACCGCTCACTAGGAACTACCCTCCACTGCAGGGAACTGTTTGCCTGGGGTCACACTCCCACTCAGGGGCAGCACACAGCCAATGACTGGCCATTGTGGCAATGCAATTCAAGACACCTCTGAGAAGGTCTCCCAGCTCTCCGTTTTCCTAGGATTACCAGGGGGCTTGGCTGCAACTACAATGCTGCTTGATCTCCCCCCTGTCCCACCTACCTTCTTCACTTTCTTCCAGACAAAATCTCCTCCAAGAACTCTCCAATAAACATTCCACACACAACTCTGCAGGAAACCCAGTCCCAGATGAGGACTAAGAAACACGAGTGGGCCAATCCAAATACGGCAGGCCAACTCCACCTGGGCTTAACAAGTTTTGAAAATGAGTTGAAATCAATTGGAACATGTGTTCTGTGAACTGGGGAACAATATAACCTTTTCCAATGGTATTCCTGTCTTCACTCTATACCAGAATAAAAAATGTTTAAATTTTTGAGGAAAGAAATAAGAATGTAAATAGTTTTAGCACACAGCCTATCTGTAAAAACTGCAGAGAATTCCACACTGGTTAAGTGTCTGTGATACACAGGAGAGACATACTGCTCGAATGTGTATCTTAGAACTCTCAGGCAATAAAGCATCTGCTTGCCCCACACTCTGTCGGAATCAGTGGTTACCCAAAGGGAGTCTCTTACCTCCAGGACCAGCCACAGCTGTCCACCCACACAGCGATCTGCTCTGTAAAACATTCCATAAAACTTTACAACATTGGGATGATTTGGAAGAAATCGCAAAATGTTGTATTCTGCCTCAATTTCTTCATCCATATCCTAAACAGGGTAAGAAAAAAAAATCCATGCTGGGTTAAAACTAATGTGAAAGGAAAGATACAGACAGGACATCATGCTCAAGTAATCTATTAATAAAGTATATTAACTATGTATTTTAATGTTATCATTTCTGTATCTTCAAAATGTCTAACAAAGGATGATCCCAATTTAAAACTTTTATGTTAGTATATCGATACAATTTCTTTATGATATTGCCTTTTTCTTTAACTGCACTACTTTCAGTACTGTATCTTTTTCATTGAGAAATGTCTGAATTTTCAAAGCAGTTATGGAGAAGTAGCATGAAGGGACCCAGCACAGGGCAGAGCACACACAACTTCCCTGGGCACAGCAGGGTACAGGATCATAACCTCAGCTCTGAAATAAAATGTCAGCTTACAATGATCGAATAGCACAAGTCTGGGTCACTTTGTAACTTTTAGAGACCAGGGAGTGGAACATATCACTCTTTCCAAAAGAGTAATTTCTGAAGAGCCCAGAGGACCAAAATCAAAACAAGAGTAAAAAACAAAAAAACAAAAGTCAAGGAAAGTTTAAACTCCAAGCAAACTCCCTCCCTTCAGAGTGGCTGACAAATCATGACCATTTTCAGATTTCTTGCCACCTTTCATGACAATTATCACTCAGATCAGGACAAGAAATGGAAAGCTCAATGTGCATGAAACACTACATTGTGGTCCCAGTTTACTACAATGACTTACGCTAATGGGGTCCAGAATTTTCACTGCGGCCAGACTCCCATCTCTCCTGTTGGTTACCTTGTAGACCTTGCCATAGGTGCCTTTACCAATGGTCTCTATAATCTCCCAGGTGTCCATAGGATCGGGAAGTGATTCAAGTCCAAGCATCATGGAGTTGCAGTGAAATAATCCATAAAGATGTTTCCTGGTGGGTAAAGATTTTTTTTATGCCAATGGATCATAGGATTAGAGGTAGTAGGCTTTGAAAACAAAAATATATTTTATTTCTTTTTGGGGTGCCGGGGATCGAACTCAGGTCCTTGTTCTTTCAAGGCAAGCGGCAGAACCACTGAGCTAAAAATCCCCAGCATATTTTAATTTCTTAACCAGTAGCCTCATGTTAGTTTTTATTTTCGTCCTGTATTTCAAGTAGCCTGAAAAAAACCCCTTAGTAACACGTTAAGAAATGGTAATAGAAGATAAAACAGAGAAGTAACACAACTAAAGTGTTACTTTAGTGGCACACCCTAAAAGCACAATTCCGTAAGTAGAGATTATATTCACACAGCAGGAGGGAATAAAGCTCAAAGAAGAGGTGCTAGTCATGACTGCGTAGCTGCCTTGTTAGGCAGTGAGTGGTGGGAAAGAAGCTAAAAACCATAGGTCTAAAATATGTCTCCAGGTTGTGGTAAATTTAGTTCCCTGATGAACCCTGGAAACTCATGTGCACCCTATGTGTGGAGAGTCAAAAGATCTGATGCATGTGCCACACACAACACCCATTGCTGATAGCTCTGGGGTCCTGGGGAGATCAGCCATGCCCAGGACCCATCCTGCAGCAAGAGCCTGGTGTGGGGATCACACCCAAGAGGCCTACAGAGCCGCAGACTCAACTGGGGTTAACAGTGAGCAGGACACAGCTTGGGAGCAGTTACCAACAGCAAGCTCGGCAGGTGAAGGCTGACCCTGTGCAAAACCCCCTTCAGGTTCACGTGCTCTCAGACTGCTCTGAGAAGCTCCTGCTGCTTCTCAATGCCCCAGGAAGTACGACCAGGCTCCACAGGGAGAGCCACAGCACCCAGTCCCCACTGCCCATGGCTTAGTGTTCACCCGGGAAGCGCCTCAGTGCTGAGCATCCAGTTTGCACTTGCTTTTCCCAAAGCAAAGCCCTGAGGCCTGGAATACGAAAGCATTGGTTTTGGTTTTGGTTTTGTTTTCTTACCCTAATGAGAACATTTAAAAAATACTGAAAACCATTACAAATACAAAACAAAACAAAGCCAAAAAAGGCACCCTACTCTCTGAGGGGCCTGCAGCCACAACCTGAGGGCCAAGGTGAGCTCTGCCTGGCAGAGGCGCTGTCCCCAGAGGGCGCTGATGCAGCGACTCAGGCCTTTGACTTGCTGCTTTCAAGACTCTGGAGCAGCAGCCTCTCTTTCCATCCAGTGTTTCACAAAATCAATCTTTCTCACCACAGGCTCCCAATTTTTATCATTTCTATACATCATCTGTGCGGTTAGCTACTAAATACTTTTTAAATTACTTGTTTTTCACTTCATTGTCTTTTAAGGGGACTTTATAACACTATCTTACACACAAAACCAATATCATTTGCCACATATCCAAGTTAATGGCAAAAAGATGATCAGGCTATAAACAACGGAGAATTATTCAAGTCCAGCCAGAAACTGCTGCCCCTGGACTCCAGCCTAAGGCTGATCTTTCACGAAAAAAGAACTCATGAGGCATGGGGAGGAATTTAAGCCTGGCACAAGTGTCTCCTCTGATGTCATCAGAAGAGCTGAAGGAGCTTAGTTAGCAAGGGATCACTTTGCCATGATGTGACTCAGTGCTCTTTGGTGCAACATCCCCAGACCTCTGGACACCTGAGAACATCACTGTAGGCTGGGCTTTTGCAAGAGCTGGGGGTGACTACATGGGCTGCCCCGAGACAAGAGTCCATCACCCGAGATGTCCTTAGCTTACACTGACCCAAGTGGCCTCTGCTCCTCATTGGCAGGAACATAGCATCTGGATTCAGTATGGGGACATACCAGTGCTCAAGCCAGGCTTCTGGCATGATCTTGGCTGTGCCCTGGCCAGCCATGAGACTTGGGCAGTGACTCACTTCTCTACCTCAGTTTCTTCAGGGTGGCGGTGGCAGCCAGAGGTGATGCTGTCTAGTCACAGGGCTGCTGCTCAGATTAGCACAGAGAGCTCAGAGAGCTCTGACATGGCAACAGAGAGGCACCACGCTCTGCCTGGGAACCAGCACAGCTTCACAAATATTTCCCTGCTCTGTTTTCACTTTCAACCACAAACTGAATGAGAACTAAATGAGTTTTTCTCCAATGACCTAGAGTCACTGAATATGGCAGTAGAAAAGGGCTGTGGAGGCTATTGAATCAAGTGGTTTTCTGAAATTCTGGCTATGAAACATTTCTTTTACATTCATCTCACCTTGGATGCTCATACAGATGCTGCACAAGTGGCACAGCTCTGGCAGAGGTGGCCTGGGGACCAAATATCTTCCTGTACTCTCCAGGAGTTCCAGACAGGGTGACCAGCCATTCTGGGTTGCTGGGACTGCCTCTGTTTTGTTTCTTAAAGTGTCACAACCTGGGAAACCCTTCAGAACAAACCAGGGCAACTTGGCACCCTAGCTTCTAGGGCCTTCTGAAGACGGTCACCAACTCAGAGAATTGTTAGACAACTATTGTTTATGCACAGCTCCTCCACCTCAAAGCCTGTGATGGCTGACTTGTCCCCTTTCCCAATTAATATTGTCAAGTCCTAACCCCCAATGCCTCAGAATGTGACTATAGCTGGAGATAGAGCCTTAAAGGAGTAGTTAAAGGAAAATGTGACCGTATGGGGCTAAAGAGCCACTCCCATATGACTGTTGAGTTTATAAGAAGAAACTTAGACTCAGAGAGAACATGTGAAGACCCTGGGAAATGACAGTTCTCCACATGCCAAGGAGAGGACTCAGGAGAAACCAACCCCGCTGACATCTTGATCTTGGACTTCTAGATCCCAAAACTGTCATACTTGGTTAAATAAATCTCTGTTGTTTAAGCTACTCATTTGTGGTTCTTGGTTATGGCAGACTTAGAAAACTAATATACCCACTTTGTTTTTCTTTTTCTTTTTTGTTTTCATTTTTGCTATTATTGTTGTAGTTGTTATGGTTGTGGTACTGGAAATTGAGCCCAGAGCCATCACACTGAGCTACGTGCCCAGTCCTTTTTCTATGTTTTCATTTGGAGACGGGCTCTCATTAAGTCCCCCAGGATGGGCTCAACCTTTCAATCCTTCTGCCTCAGCCTCCCAGAATGCTAGGATTACAGGCACGCTCCACCATACCTAGCTACCCGCCACCCCCTTCGAAGATGAGAAAATTGAAGCTCAGATTGGTAACATGACAGTTTAGGGGCAGCAGAGGGATAGAAATGCCAGCTTCTCTACGTGCAGTCCCAGGATCTTTGCTCCACAGATTAGAATGGAGCTGGCTGGTTAACAATGGTTTGTTCTTTCTGACTCACTATACCAAATATGGAAAAGTCCTGCAAGGGGAATATTCCAATCCCACGGAGGCTAAGTTCCCCACAATCCTAATGGACATCAAACTCTGCTCCCCTAAAACAAGCACTACTCACCCAGAGGGATCTGTTTACAATGAGCACCAGTGATGGGCAAACAGAAGACAAACAATGCAGCTCCACTGCCTGTCCATCAGGTAGCACCTGGGCATCCACAGACAAGGTTAAATAAAGGTACAACAAGACAGGCACACTACTGACAGCTCTACCTATCTTCTCACTTTAAAATCAATACCTGACTCTATATACTTCTGGGTGATTGATTAAACAGTCAGCCCAAACAGCAGCTGTTCATACAGCCCAACAATGGTGATCATCTGGGCCAGGGCAGCAGCCCAAGCAGCCCTTCTGACAGAAAAACACTGCTCCTAGCCAGAATGTTAACTTTGAGGTAGACAGCACTTTTGCCTAGGTCTGTGTTTGGGTCATGGGAGAGCTAGGGCAAAAAGTGCAGTCTTCCCTCAAGGTTAACATGGAAATAGCCCAGGTAGACCAAAGGATGGACCAGGAACTCCTTGCTGTGAGAGGGATGATATCTGGGACCTTGGGACTCTGCAGAACCTTTGGAGTCTCTGAGGAGGCACCAGGGCCGCCTACAGGCCTGGAAATGGGGATTCCATGCATCTCTTTGGACATGATAGGAAAGACTACCTTAGAAGGCTGGAAAATTCATGTTACAAGCTACATTCATTGAAAAACAAAAAGAAGGGCTGGTCTATCTAGGCAGAGGCCAGTGATGGCCCTTGCAGGGTCGGAAGTGGGAAGACAGAGTTTACTAACCAATTAGAAATCCTTTTGTCCTGGATGTGTTTCTCCTTGCTGTTGTTCATAATGAAGACTAGACTAACACACTTTGTTTTTGCGTGTAATAGTGGTATGTAAGTCGACAGCACAAATGATTTCTCATCAAGCTGACAACTCTTAGAGCAAGATTCGGATGTCCCCCATATTCCTGTCATCTAAACCCTTCCAGTAACAAGAATAGTGAAGTTATTACCAAGGCAAAGAGGACCTCACCTAGGAAAGACATTCCTATTCAGTAAATAAGGATTATGTAAACATTAATGTGGGATAAACATTTCCTGTCTTTACCTACACATCATTCTCAGTCAAAAGTCTAGGAAGCATCTAAGCACTGTCTAGTTAGATTTTTATTTAGTTAAAGATTTTACTAACGCAGTACCTTGGACTTCAAGAACTTTTTTTTTGCTTTTCTTTAGATGGAAAACTCTTAAAAGGCAGGGACTGCATCTCTTTATGGTTTTGAGAAAGGCTCTCAGGAATGTTCTTTCTATTGACAAGAACAGTTCACTGAACACAACTCAGCGCAGGAAGGAGACATCTTGCCCACCAGATAACAGCTCAGCTCACAAGAATGCAATGACTTGCCTGCATTTGAACACCACACTGGGGAAACCTCCCAACCCCATGGAGGCTAAGACCCCATATACCCAAGGAACAAAATCTTCACTCCCCCAAAACAAGGGCAAACCCTCCAAGAGGGACTCATTTATGGTAGAGCCAATGTTGGGACTCCAGTGAATAACTTCACACTGCCTAAGTAGTTCCACATAGGGCTGTAAACTAATACCTAAGCTGCTTT